ACTACTACTACTACTACTACTACTACTACTACTACTACTACTACTACTACTACTACTACTACTACTACTACTACTACTACTACTACTACTACTACATATACTAATAATGGTGATGATGATAATGCTACCGATACCACCGGCAACACTACTACCACCACCACCATCACACCACTATAATGCACACTACTAGTACTCGTAATACCATGTGCCAAGGTTGCTGCTAGTCATTGACTCACACTGCACCTCGCCTAATTGATCACCATCCCGTCTCACCACAACTTTTAGTCCTCTTTTTTTTTTCCGTCTTTCTTCTTCTTCTCTCGTCCATTTAGCCTCTTTAGTCTCCCTACGTATAGCACGTATCGTATGTACCCGTACAGACTACAGGTGATAGCCCCGCCGCCGCTAATGAGAAGGGAAAAGGGGGCTAAACGATATCAATCGACCCTTCTGTCAGAGGTCGGATCACTTCCTATTCTCCACTTATAGGACTCGTACGAGATAGTATCCGTACCCCGTAATAACTCCCCTACGCGTACTCTGCAATCCGGGCAAAGTACTCCGTGAACGCCGAGTGGAATAAAATAGAACGGGACAGCTCTCGCTCCCACGCACACACGAGTACTATCTATACGAGCGTATCCAGGCCGACTTTTTTTGGTTTTTCGATTTTTCGGTTTTACGGGATGAAAGAGAAGAGGGGTTTTTTTTTTTTTTTTTTTTTGGTTCCTTTTTTTTTTTTTTTCAAAAAACATACCAGGCTCAGGCTCATAGAGACGCCCACTACAGATAGGCTTGTCTTCATACCCAAGTATCAGAGCTGATCCGTAGTTACTCCGTAGTAGAGACTCAAGCCAACCGCCCCCCTCCCCCTGGACAAAGACTGCCATTGTCTTTTTGGCGTGGTATCGGCCGGGTCACACATTCTGTGTAACGGTTCTTGTCTGTGTTTCCTCCTCCTCCTCCTCCTCCTCCATGTACGAGGGATAGTTGCACAAGGCCCCTACGAGTATGGCATACATGTATTTATTTACCTTTTACAGGGGCCCCTTTCCCTTTCCCTTCCCCATCCTACGGAAGTACATGATATAGGTAGAGAGGCCGAGCAAAGGGGTGGGGAAGGGGGGGGGGGGGGGTGGGGCAGACCGGCTATAGATACATTGATCCTAAAAAAGCCTACGGGTAGGAAACGCTCATATATCATCGGTCTGTAGGGGACAGATACAACACAACGTCGCATGTTAGTAACACTACGGCTGCTGCTGCTGCTGCTACTGCTACTATCACCACTATCACTACCATTGCTACCATTGCTACTTTACGTACCACTGCTACGTTTTCTTATGGCTTCTACTACTACCACGACTACTAGACTACTACTATGACTGATGCTAGGTGACCGCCCCACGGCGTCTCCTTCACATTGGTCTTCAATTCTCTCTCATCGTCAAGCAGATGGATCATGGATCCCGTGCGGCGGCGGACAGAAG